TCCTATAATAAATCACTAACTATCCTAAATCAATAACAATCATAAAACCCTAACTATCCTAAATCACTAACTATCCTAAATCACTAATCTAACTATCATAAATCACTAACTATCCTAAATCAATAACAATCATAATAACATGAAATCGAGAGGGAGGTACCTTGATATGAGCGGCAGCCGTGTGTGTCGGCGTTAAATGGCGTGTGGCGTATGGGCTATTATGTGGCGAGAATGGAATGGATGGCGTCTTGTATGGCTAGGCGCGGCGGAGCGACCGTTTGCGGGCGTCTTGGTGATGGCTGCGGTGGCGAAGCGGGCGGGCTACTATTTGGGTCTTGGTGCGCGCGCTAAGCGTCGCGTCTTGGCGGCGGCGGGCTTGCTCGCGATATTTATCTGGTTCTGCCGCGCCATGCACCGTGGCGCGTCAGTGCCGCCGAGATCGGTGGCGTGGCAGACCCTGCCACGTCACCGGTCAGCAGCCGGGTCGTCGCCACGTCAGCCTGCTACCGCGCCACCATGCATGGCGCGGCACAGGCGTTTCGCCACGCCATGGCAATAGGCGCGGCGAAAAGTGTTAGTTTTGAAAGAAAAAAAGTGTTATATTTAAAATTAGTTTAAAAAAAGTGTTAAAAATAAGAAAAATTCCTAACCTACCCGTCTGGTGGCAACTTGCAGTTTTGCAGATGAGTTTTTTTTCGAAAAAAGTAATTGTGGGACTTACCTTGCTGACCTCACAATTAATTTTAGAACGCGTAACTATCAGATGGCAGATATGGTTGCGAGTGGATTGTTGAAACTTCCTGTGTGCACTTTTTTAGAAGATAACTTATGCGTGATGAAGATATATATCTTGCTAGAGGTTATGTCATCCTGATCCGTCTTCATCTTTTTAGACGAAATGTACCACTACTCACATACTTCCAAATGCGCATTTTCATTCTTGTACATTAACAGATCATATAGTTGGCAATCGCAAAGCATATTTTGCATCATATGGAGTACTATATGGCTCACTAGAATCGAAGGCATTACAAGATGTTTTATTAAATTACAGATGACTCAGTTGGTATAATTGACAAGTATACTTTCTAATGTGCAACAATAAACTTGAAATGTGCCATCTTAACCTTAATTTTTCTGGTTTTCCTCAATTGAATTGATGTTTTTCTCTGATGACATGACGGTCAAAATTTTGGAAGTGACTAACTTATCATGTTTGGGAATCCTGTGAAGACCAGTAAGTTGTTATGGATTGAACTCACCAAATGGATGTACGTAATCATGAAGCTTGAAAACTATATGTAAGTTGTAGACCCACAATTGGCCACTGCTAACTATATGTAGCTTGAAAACTATTGGCTAATAAAAATTATTTTTTATGTTATCGGTATTTTTTTTTCCATTTGAGCTTGTTTGACTGCACTTGTATCCACTCCAATCCACCATAATACATGTGGATTGTGGTAGTTACAAGTGTAGCCAAACAAGGTCTGATGGATATTTTTGTCTACATGCAAGTTTAATAAATTATTGGTTATGTGTGATATCATAATAATATAAATATTTGTTTAATTATTAGTAGTCCACTAGCATAGCATAATCAACTAGATACTAAAGGACGGAAAGAATATAAAAATTTCAATCTTTTTAGATTGAAGAAAATGGACCAACCTTGTAGAATAGGAGAACCACCTCTCCTTATTGACAAAGATAGAACTCTGATATTTTTTCCTACTGGAATAAACAATCATGTCAAATATACACTGGCAGGATCCATCATGTAGTGTGTGTTTTCATCAGGAAGGGAAATTATGTGAGTGTGTTTGCTATAATGGCCCAATTCCTAAGCTTGGGATAAAACATAGTTAGGAGGTTAGTGAGGCAGCTGAGGCCCTAAAGAATGTTAAAAAAAAACAGATTTCTAGAGCATAAGAAATGTTTGTGATTTATACACATCATCACTACCATAGCGTGCCCATATATTATTATTATCTCAACACAGTTATCACCTCTATCAGCATTCCCTTGTGATCAAGCCATTCAGTTGGGCAAACCTACAATTTTAGAAGGTAATTAGTGCATGTGACGTACGTGCTTCTGACTTGGTTGGTGGGTCAGTGATGCAGCTGAAGCCATTAAGGATGTGAAAAAAGGGTGGACACTTTTGTAGAGCATGATACAATGTGTGATTTATACACATTATCACTTCCCAATTATCATATATTGTGCTTATTGTCTAGCACATGGATCACATCCCCTGGTGCTCAAGTCAATTGTAGCACTCAATTGAGTAAACTTACAATTTTAGAAGATGCGCTTTGTGAGTGGGTTGTTGAAACTTCTTGTATGCACTTGTTTAGAAGATAACTTGTGTGTGATAGCCAGCTATATGCTCTGTTCTCTGCAGATGCATGTGAGTAGGAAATGAATCTGTGTGCACTCTTTTAGAAGATGACTTGTGTGTGATACATCTTAGAAGGTAACCAGAGCTCTAACATTTCCTGCTCACACATGCATCGTCTGTGGAGAACAGAGCAACATATAGCTGGTTAATCATACTTTTGAATCATACATAGCTAACTAGAACAAAAGGAGTTACAATGATGTTCCTTTATTAATTAAATTTACCAATCAATTAGTAGACAACTATAATTTCTAATGTGCAGTAACCTACTTGAAATTTATTCTATTAATCTTTCCTCCAGTGAGTCAATATTTTTCAAAGTTGTCATGTTTGGGAACCATATGAGGACCGGTGGATATACGGAGCTACCAAATATATGGATGTCATGATTCTTATTTCTGGGGGGGCCACAATTAGCTTGAAAAAATATTGACTAAAGTTTGTTTTAGATTGTATCTATATATCTTCCACATTTAATGGATAATTATCCGTATGCAAGTTTTATGATTTATCATTAGAGATAATATGTTGTTGTATATCGTAATCCATTCATTCCAAATTATATGTCACTTTAGCTTTGTACTATGCAAAACTTCTTTAACTTTGACCAAGAAAAATATACTGACATCTACAACCGCAAACTAGTTTTATAAATTTTCTATGAAATATATTTCGATAATGCATTTATTTGAACTTGTAGATGTTAATGTAAAACATTGTTCAAAGTTAAAGAAATTTGACTTAGGATAAAGCAAAAGTGAGCTATAATTTGGAACAAATGGAGTATGATACAAATATTTGTTCCATTATAGTAGTCCCATTTGAATATGATATTCACTAGCATAGCATCAGGATGGAAAATATATAAAGAAATAGAATGTGATAAAAATAATAAGGTCGATTTCTACGGAGCATAGAAACTAAAAGTATCATCACTGCCAATTTATGAAATATATTGTGCTTGTTATCTGAATACAGATATAGAACCTGGATAGGTATTCCCTTGTCCTCAAGTCAATTATATTATAGCATTCAGTTGAGCAACCCTACAATTCTAGGAGGTAACTAGTCCTTGAGCATGTGCTTCTGAGTTGGTTGTTGAAACTTCTGTCCCGTGTGTAAATTTTTTGAAAAAACTTTGTTTCGCGTAATCAAAGTATATTTCTTTCTACTGCCCCGACTTTATCCTAGTCTTTTTGGAGCGTAGAATTTTTGTAGGAATCGTACAAGAATTTCACGAGAATTAGTTCAATTTTACATGAAAAACATAGGAACATAAAAAATTTCCTGCATTCCAAACAGGCCCTAAACTGTCTAAAGAATCCTCAAAAGCTTATATCTAAAAAAAATATTGTGTACATGAGGCATCTCAAAAGCACACTATATCCATTTTTTATTTTAAAACGAGGAGTTCTCAAATTCAACAATCTCTATATGAAAGAAAAATTGATGTACAAAATAATAAGGGACCGTTTAGATCCTTTTATTTTGGAAGACTTGAAATCTACTTAATGGATTATGTTATTTGACTTGGAATTTGATATTCCACCACCCTGTTCTCTTATCGTTTCTGTGGCTTATAAGCCGGCTGATGTTGTTTTATTGTGAGAGAAAAACACTGTATCATGGCTGATAAGCATGGCTGATACGATAAAGCGAACAGGGTGCACAACTTTCCTAAGTTCACATGTAAGCCTATCTTAAATTCATAGGGTGTGAGATAGAAATTGATTCTATAGTTCACCATGTTATATTTTTACTCTGCAACTTATAGCACGCTCTTCAACTCGCTTCCTTACACTAGAAATGCAACATATAAGTATCTCAATTGTATGGCTAATAATAGTATACAAATATATTCCATATGCAACCATATTAGCTTAATTAATGTGTGTCTAAATTATAATTATGAGAATGAATTCAATTCCAAAATCCAAACGGGGCCTAAGTGAAAGAACGGGTTAGCGATGCAGCTGAGGGCCTTAGAATGTGAAAAAAGGCGTGTGATCACTTTTGTAGCAAATGGATCAGTTATTCTCTGGTGCATGTTCAGTTCAATTAAGCAAACTTACAATTTTAGATGGTAACTAGTACAGGCGCATGTGCTTCTGAGTTGGTTTCTCAAACTTCCTGTGTGTACATTTTTGAAGGTATCATGTGATGTGTGATCAAAATACAGAGGTGCTACGTACCATGTTTTTTAAGGTAATTTGATCCCTTTAACTGTCTAGGAATCTTCACAGTTTCTAAAAAAAAGTGCTTACACAAAGAAAGCATCTCAGAAACAAACCACTATCCAAATTTTTTATATGAAAGTTTCCAAATCCAATAACACTGACATGCAGGCAAAGCTCATAACTTGTTGTCATAAAAAACAAATATTTAATCCCAGAACGATCCAAATGCAAAACAACAATAAAAATAAAAGAAAAGAAAAGAAAAGAAAATTGAGCTGGAGAAAGCCCCAGCCCCCCAAGCCAACAACAACGCCTATAAAATACCTCGCATCCCTCCGTCACTCTCTCCATCCCTACCAAACAGAGGACTGAATTTCAGCAAGAGGGAAGGGAAGTGTACTGCAACTGACATCTGCACCATGGCTGGGAGCTGGAAGATGGTCGTCAGCGTTCTGCTCGTGCTTCCACTCCTTCCGTTGGCCTCCTCGTCCATGGTGTTCAATCTTGACGGCAGCGTCTACCCCACAGCGTATGTATAATAATGTACACGAGACTACCTTCTCCTCTCTCGAACTAGCATGCCTTGATGTCAACCGGAAAGTTGTAAAAAAAAAGGAAATAAAGGACCCTCGCTCGTTGTTTACTGCATCTTATCATGCAAAAAAGAATGGTTTCTTTTGCCGTCTCCAGAAAGTTAATTCATAGCAAGAAATACAAAGATATATTTGGCCTTTGCTTGACGATTTTTCCATGCTGTCGTCCACTTGTGCTTGCTGACACTTCTACGTGACCATGAACATCGGGGAGCCGGCGATGCCCTACTACATGGACATCGACACCGGCAGCAACCTCACCTGGCTCGAGTGCCACGACAACGATGGTCCCTGCAACACCTGCAACAAGGTATAGCATATCGGTGCTGCAGAACGCAAACGCACGCACATATATATGCATCTCGCCTTTATTTTCAGCTTCATTGGAAATAAATTTGACTAGAAAAACGTATGGTGCACATAAAAATCACCATGAACTGCACTATGTTTGATGCTATATATATATATATATATATATATATATATATATATATATATCGGTGATCCTTGTCCCTGCAGGTGCCACACCCACTGTACCGACCGACGCTGAAGAAGCTCGTTCCATGCGTAGATCCTGTCTGCGACGCGCTGCACAAAGACCTGGGTACAACCAAGGACTGCAGAGCTGCACCGCGCCAATGCGACTACGAAATACACTACCTAGATGGATCGTCATCTCTTGGTGTGCTCGTCCTTGACAAGTTCTCATTGCCTACGGGCAGTGCCCCCAACATCACCTTTGGGTATGCAACAGAATATATGCATGGATATTACATTCTCTTTGCATTGCTCACTGGATATGTTCATGACAGTTTGTAGTTTTCTTAATTTCTGCATGCAGCTGTGGGTATGATCAGATGCAGAACTCCAAGAAGGCCACCAAGCGGGTGCCGGTCGACGGCATCCTTGGGCTTGGAAGGGGCTCGGTAGACCTCGTCTCGCAGCTGAAGCACAGTGGAGCCGTCTCCAAGAATGTGATAGGTCATTGCCTCAGCTCAAAGGGAGGGGGCTACCTCTTCATTGGGGAAGAGAATGTGCCCTCTTCACATGTAACCTGGGTCCCCATGGCTCCAGGAACACCCGGGTAAGCACTATACTAGTACTGCTTATCTTTTCATGCAAAGTGCTTGGTTGTTCACGATGATGGTCTGAGAAGGCTGTTAGTTTGTTGTGAATTTCATTGTTTCATTTTATTCAAGCATGCACACACTATTAGCACTATGTAACAGCACTGATTCCTGCACAGCTGCATATCATATACATATACTGCATTTCCAGGTAATAATCACCATTTAACAGGACACATTTTTGATTGATGCCCCCTTTTGTTTCTCAATCTTGTAAAAGGAACCACTTTCTCTTCTGGAAAATGGAAATTCAATAATGGAAACTAGTTGAGAAGGATACCACTGAACTTTATTTTCTTTTGACTTTGTTTCAACGTGTTTCCAGGGAAGGTAATCACTACTCGCCAGGCCAAGCAACCCTGCACTTTGGATAGAAAGCTGATAGGCACAAAGCCATTGAAGGCGGTCTTCGACAGTGGCAGCACTTACACCTACTTGCCTGAGAATCTACATGATCAGCTCGTTTCTGAGGTATGTTCCTAATCAGTAATCACAATTCATTATTAAACCCCAGGTACCACGGTTATTAGAGACAGTAGACATAGGATTCATGACATGTGAAGGATGTTGCTGCAGCTGAAGGCCTCTCTCAGCAAGTCACTCAAAGTGGTGTCTGATACTGCACTGCCTCTATGCTGGAAAGGACCTAAACCTTTCAAAACTGTGCACGACCTCCCGAAAGAATTCAAGCCAATAATGGTGTCTCTGAAATTTGACCATGGAGTCACCATGACTATCCCTCCTGAAAACTACCTCATTGTTACTGTAAGCACTCCAAACACAGCTGACTGTCAGCAGTGAATGCTAATTTGTCAAAAAAGGAGGAGAATGATTTAAATTCTTGTGCTTTTGTGTTTGTGGCAGGAGCATGGGAATGCATGCTTTGGCATTCTTGGACTGCAAGGCTTGGATCTGTTCGTAATTGGAGGTACAAAATTTTGCATATACCATGCTCAATTCAGAATACAGTGTTCAGGCATACATATCTGTAAAATATTTTTGATTCCAATGGATGCTCTGTTTCTGCAGGCATCACAATGCAGGAGCAGCTTGTGATATACGACAATGAGAAAGGAAGGCTCGCATGAATGCCATCGCCGTGTGATAAAATGCCCAAGTCCAAAGCTGAGATCATTTCGCGCATCTGAAATCCTGAATGAAGTTGCCAGTACCTGATGGGATGAAAGATTGAAGAAGGTGAAGAAGAGAATTAAGAAAAATTAAGTATTGTAAGAAAGGAACTCTATAAAAAAAAGAAACCTGTGTGTGTACCTCCTGATCAGTGATCAATGCTCATAATAAAGCATATTTGATGATTAAGTATGTTTTTCGCCTGAGATGGTTTTTTTTCCTTTTTGCGAACGCACCTGAGATGTTCTTTGTGCTGACGTAAATTTGATTGTGCAGTCGATATATATGCCTCTTTCATTAAAAACGAAACAATTCCTTCGATGCTATGTTTTACCTGGGTAGCCTCCAGGAATGACTGGAACTATAATTGTAGACATGGTATTTGATTAAACGGAGAGAGGTAGTAAAAACAGGACCAACTCAGTTTCTTTGTGTTCAACGTTAGCGTCTGTATTTCACAGTTATAGACAGCAAGTGGTGCAGTGAAGTAAAGTGACAGTTGTGACACAGAATCATCATTAATTTATGTTTTTTTAAATGCGAAAGAAGTTCTACCTATTATTGAGATGAAGAATGGAGTATAACAACTAGGGTCCAGTGCTGGCAGCCCCATAGTTTGGCATAAGAACTTTAGTGTGTCTGCCCTGGCGCCCTGCAGTGATTGAAGATTGTCCTGATCAACTGCACTCTATTTAGTAAAATTGTGGTTTCAAAAAGCAGTATGGCTGCTGCTGCTGCCTTGTAGCATTTGACCCTTGTTTAGAACGAATTGAATCCTGGTATACGTACGCATATGACCGCACTGTATGGATAGTTCAAAGCAGTGATTACGTTCACCATAGCCCAACGCAATAACACTGGACTCATATGTATACCTGTTTACTTTCAAAATAATTCATTGATAAAGCAGACAAAATATATGATGCTATATGAAATTTTGCATCAACTAGAACTGCCAGTGTGTACATAGTATACATATTTACATATTGACAATAGAGGACACATGATTCTGTGAAACTGATGTATCCTAAGATCATGATAGATGAGATTGAAAATAACTGTGTAGTTCTATATCATGGAGTGTATAAATTATAGAACACTCTGTACTAGAGTTATTGGAACCAGTCATGCACAAGATGAGATGTTCAGCCTATTCTAACCTGATATAATATCCTGTGAGTTACTGAAATAACACATCTTCCACTAATTTTTCACTTCCTTCAAAATGAGTGGGTAGCATGGCCCAGGTTATCTGATGTTTATATGGAGGGGGAGGATAATTTCCAGAATCATGTCAGCTGATGCCTGATGGAGACTGAAACCTGCCATGAGTTTCCACAAGGAATTATCTCTCCTTTTTTTCCATCAAATAACTTTTTAACCCTTCATTGCTAACATACTCCCTCAGCTTAAATTAATGTAGTATTAACTTTGTCCTAAGTAAAACATTTCTATCTTTGACCATTAATCTATATCTCTTATAAAGCTTGTAAGAAAAACGGACCCTTGGCCCTTTTAAATTGGATTTTGGCGTTTGATGATCAATACAACCAAATTGGACTAATGAATTTGCGGGTGTTGATTTTGGAGTTCAATAGGGTGCAAACGTGACTTGGACGAATGTGACGTGATGATCCGATGATCAACACCTCAAGCAAGGCATTACAAGCGTAATGGAAAACCCAAAACATCAAGCAAAGTCCAAGCACGAAGGATGGAACCAAGCCGGACACGAAGGTCACGAAGAAACAAAGTGAATGGAGCAACACAGGAGCTCCGGACCCAGATGGACCCAGGTGAACCGAACCTTGTGAACAGTGCTCCAACTGGACCATCAGCGAGCTCAGTCCGGTTGAGTACAGAGAGGTTCCAGAGGCGCTCGGAGGAACCGGACTGAGTCCGGTTGAGGGAACCAGACCATCGGGTAGTCCGGTCCGGTTGACTAGCCCACAGTCAGCCACTGCAGCGCACACAACGACCATTTCAATGGTCGCCTGTCAGTGACTATTGGAGGGGAACCGGACCGAGGAAGGATGGTCCGGACCCAGGGTCTGGACCGGTTGGAGCACAGAGAGCACACCAAAGGGGACCAACGGCTCTATTTGGTTGGGGCTTATAAATACCCCCATGACCGGCCAAATGATGTGTGGAGAAGCTATGGGAAGGTGCTAGAGTGTTAGATACACCATATTAGAGTTCTCCATTTGCATAGGGCTTAATAGATCACAAGGTGATTAGCATAGGTGTTTTGCGAAGTGCTTATGTTAGTTAGACCACCGCTTATGTGCTTGCTCTAGGTTTAGGCCTAGTATACTCGGCGGGCTTGTAGTCTTACAAGACTATACCAACCGCGTTTGTGGTGTGGTCGCCACCATGTATCGAAGGGAACAAGGCCCGCGGCGTTTCGGCCGGAAGCTTGAGAGTGAAGACGGCGGGGAGCGGTCCGAGAAAGGCTTGCCGAAGGCACACTAGAGACCCACTTGCGCGTGGGGAAGGCCCGGTGCTATCCACGGAGTTAGTTGATCGGGAGCTTGGCCCTTGCGAGGGCTTCTGTGCGAGGAGCTCCCTAGGGGGAAGCTTGAGTGCTTTTGATACCCCAGTAAAAATATCAGAGTCGTCGACGGAGTTTGCATCTCTACCTCATCTTTAGCTTCTACATTTATATTGTAATCTTGGTTGTGTGCTTTACCTTTCCTAGCTTAGATGATAGGATAGTTGATAGGATTGGAACCTAGGTTGCATAGTTCCTTTTGCAGTAGAGATAGCAACATATTAGCAAAATCGCAGTTGCACATTTAGATAGTTTATTTATTTGCATAGATTTTGCTAAGGTGAAAATTAGAGGCCATAATTAGAAGTAGAATTTTAAGTTGCCTAATTCACCCCCTTAGGCGTGACGGTCCTTACAAAGCTAATATCTACTAGAAGTCTATCTCAACATGCAAGCCATCCACATCATCCCCCACTAACCATCCACATCATCTCCACTAATAGTCATGTCATCCTACTAACTTCGAACATCTTAATGCAAGCTATCTACATTATCTTCACTTAATTTCATTCCAAATTATTCACAATCCCCGCAGCAACACGTGGGGTATCTTCTAGTTTAAATGATGTGTATAGGATAATAACATAAGATTTATGTTTTCATATTCACTATGAGAAATACTTTCATAATATGTAATTCACATGTTGTGAAACTACATGGATTTGTTGAAATTGATGATCAAAGATAGAAATATTTGACTTAGGATAAAACTAATACAACATGTAGTTTAAAATGGAGGCAGTGATTGAGGAGATAACTTGAAATAATGGTTATTTAGGCTTATGGAGAGGTAGTGGGGCCATCAACATTAATTTCATTCATTCATGCATGCATCATGCATGTAATCTTGTGGATTGCTTCATTCCCCATTGGGTAGCCCGCTTGCACACACAGTTAACTAGGGAAGATATGTATCCTTTTCCATTAGTTAGTATAACAAACAATATGGAATCATTATAATAATTAGGGATAACTAGGTCCTTGAACACTAATATGTTTTAGAGTTGCTAGAGTTAATTATATGATTTTTAGGAGAGTGGGAGTATATAATATAGTAACATACTTGAATTGCATATTTTTAACAGTGAACTTATTGGTGATTAGTGGATTTTTTTTTCAAACGATATGCATGTGTCTATTCTCCCACATGAACATGTATTGAGGGAATGTCTAGTTTTCCATATTAGAAAATCTTGAGGCATGAAGGTCAAAGTGAGATCTGACTTGGAATACTAATCAGGCATATGATGATAAAGTAAGTAAGCCCCATGAAAAAAAAAACTGATTTTGTTAGGAAGAAAGATCTTTTTGCAAGTCAATATGTGAGAAAGGAGGTTTGAGAGATGACTTGAAGAATGTGAAAATGGGAAGCGCAATTGATCATAACAAAATTAAGCTTAGTGACCTTTTACATATATTTGTGCTAATTACCTGAAGCTTATAGCACTAGAGAATCGATCAGTATCCCATGGTGCTCAAGTCAAGCATTGCATTCAGTTTTTAGCAAAGTGAAAATTACAGATCAATAGATGCTTTGAAATGCAATGCCTATTTTCCTTAAGAACTTCTAGTATGCGTGCTGTTGAAACTTCCTGAGTTCTTGTCTGTACATTTTTAGGAGGTACCAACTTGTTTGTGTAATCAAAATATCTTGCTAGATGTAATACTCGTGCAAGACTTTTGAGCCCAAACCCATCCAAATGCAAAGCCAAACATGATGAGCAATCAGTGGTGAATCTAGGATCGTCTGTAAGGGGCCTGCTATTTCCTATTTCTCCTCCTCCTCCTCTTCTCTCTCTCTCTCTCTCTCTCTCTCTCTCTCCAACTTCCTCCTCTTCATCCATTCATAAAAATTGTTGGGGTTTTAAGGATGTTTCATTGTCAGCTTGGAGGTACTCACTCCGTCCTGTAATATAGTGCATTCTATCATTTAAAATTTGTCTTCAAATATAATGCATTCTAGAGGACAAAAACTAATTTTACATTAAATATTTTCTATTTATCAACCAATCATCATTAATCACGTTGATGATAGCGTCTGATTAGGAAATAAAATAAAGGTACATGTGTCTTTTATGTCCTCTCTTAATTTATCTTAAAATTTCTAAAATGCACTATATTACAAGGACAGAGGGAGTAGGGGGGCACGACAGACGCCTCCTCTCTCTCTCTCTCTCTCAAGGGTGTTTGATGCATAATTATCCATGCTATTTTCCATGATATTTATATATAGATTAGCATGGAAAATTAGTTGTTTCCATCGTAAGCGAAGACTCTTGCATTTGAGATTCATTACTCTCTCTCTCTCCAGTGGTTATTGAAGATTCCTTGCATTGTAAATGCTCAAAGTGGGTCACTGAAACTTCGTGCATGTACCTTTTTAGGATATAACCTAGCTATTACGTG